TGTGACTGGTCATCGCAATCATCTTCAGGTCATCTGGTGAGATTATCTCTGTGGTTGGGGGCAGCATGAACGAGGTACGTTGCTCTTAACCTTATTTACTCTCTTCATCACTTCTTACCGTGAGGTTGTGAGTTCTGTCTTGAGACTCCTCTCATTGTGAGGTGTCGAGTGCGCTCAACCTTGAGAGTCGTGATTGTTCACGTGGAGCATCTTGGGAGAAGACGGCCGGAGCTTCTTGAAGGGCCCTGGACGAAGCACTGGGTCACGGTCACCATGCCAACCCATTGGGTGTAGTACACGCATGCTTCGCTGCAAGTCATTGGTTCTGCTGCTTGCGCATGATAGGGGTTAACTCGAGTATGGCAGCCTCTACAGACGCTTACCAGACCATCTATAAACATTTCATGCTGGGGACTCGGCTCTGATCTGGATGTGATCGTGGTCCTGCTGCGACGTAAAATAATTCCTGATGTCACTTGGGGGCGGACGTTAAATTGCCTCTTGATCAGCCAGATCGTTTGAGTGGAAGGCTCGTCGGCGTACGAGGATAAACAAGAGTGTTGTGGCTGCTTTGCTCGACGATAACCCGGGGCATAGGGGTGAGACCGGATTGCACACGTTTGAGACACGCTTGGCTTCTGGTGTGAAGAAACGTGACACCGTGACTTTGAGAAGAACAAAGGGAGGGGTAGGTTCCATGTGATAAGTTCAGGTTTTAATTCCATGCTATGAACACACCCAGTTTGTCAACATTATTTTTATTTTTGATTAGTTAGATGGACAGCCATGTGACATCTGACAGACAACATTAGTTTAGAATATTGTTTATTCCTGATGCTTGCTCTGTTTGAGAACTAATCATACTAAAAATAGTATTGACAGTAGGAATCTGACTTACCTGTTGATCCCAAATGAGATCTGTTCCAAAAATAGCCACCACTAAATAGTTGGTCTGTGCACTAAGCTGCGGTAGGCATCTAGAATGATCTAGTGTAGACATTGCACAGTGTTGTAGTCCATGAGCGACACAGGGGACACCAGAGAGGACGACCCCAGGATCTTGCGATCTGCCAGAGGCCYGTTAACTCACGTGTCCCTMGGACMGGRAGGTGATAGGGAACTATTCCGCCAACAGAGGGAGAGGAGAGCTAGAGCAGCCGAGGCCAGCAGAACCTTAATTGGCGAGGCTGGTGCTACAGCAGCCATGGCTACAACAGCCATGAGCACGTCTRCGCAGCAGACTTSTCAAGCCGGTAGTTCAGGYACCGCYGKGTCCACRRTCGCACAGACYGTGAGTCAGTCTACTGGCTTAATGGCAAGCCAGCCCGYGGTGTTGACCCCAGAGGAAGTCRCCATCCAGCAGGCAGCCCTGCAGGAGGCACAACTACAACAKGCATTAGGAAAGATAARAAGGGAGAAGGAGATGATGATAAGAAGAAGAACCAGGATGCAGCAAAGAGAGACAGACATAGAGGAGTTAGAAACGATGGACCTGACGCATATGGATGATGATGTGAGGGTAGTTAGGAAGGCSCTGCTAGGGGTTATAGAGATGCAGGGGCACCAGACTACTATCATTCAGGACATTCAACAGAGTCTGGCCGTATTGTCAGGCCGTGCTCAGGCAACATCATCACCAGCCGGACATGGTGCCTGGCCCGTGCCATATCCTCCCTTCTCTGTCCCACCGGTGACTGGGGTATCCCCATTTGTAGCCCCGTCAACGGTTGCTATCGTATCCATAGTCATGCCACTTTCAGGAGGGGTAACAGCAGGGAGTAGTTTACTGGTTCCTGTACAGACAGTATTTACTCCAAGTCCGTCACAGGTTGCAGTCACCACACAGCCTGCTGTCTCGCAGTCAGTGCAGCCTCAGGGCACACAACCCCAGCAGCTAGCACAGCAACCTGTTTCACCAGGTCCACAGCCTGGAATGATGCAGGGACCGAGACAAACACAGTGGGTTCCAAGGACGGCCATCGTCGCTCCTAAACCTTTTACATGAGACAAGAGAGGCGAGGACCTCGAAACATGATTGAGGGCGGTGCCGGTCTACGTCAGGTGCAAACTCACCTTGCCTCACGAAGAAGTGCTTGTGGCTGCCTCGTACCTCGAGGGTAGTGCATCAAGATAGTTGAGCGGTCTAGTKCAACTTCAGGGATATGGTCATGACTTCCGCGCTTGGGCAGCCTCCCAGAAATTGGAGGAGTTCCTAAAGATGGAGGAAGAAAGGTGGCATGATCCTCAGGAGGCTCAAAGGGCCACTGATTCGATCCTGACACTTCACACGCGACTGTTTAAGTCAGTAAGGGAGGCCACCGACGTTGTAGAGCGTTTGATCTGTGTCCCTGTGGTACGCTATGATCCTCAGGTCCTGTTGACTTCGTACCTTAGATGTTTTTCACAGCCTCTCAGGAACCAGTTGGCAAAAGAGGTCAACATCAATATGCACAACTTTCCTTCGTTTCAAGGTGGCCCTAGACCTGGAAGTAAAGATAGGGCATGGACAGGCACCCACTACGGAAGGGAGAAAGAAGACACTGCCTCCTAACTGGAAGGCGAAGGGTCGCTTAATATTTGTCGACAACGATGGTTCAACCATCGAGTTGGACGACAACCTCCAGGAGGGAGTAGGTTCAGAGGCAGGCAACTTAGACGCTTCAGAGGGTGGAGTGGTCGCTGCCGTAGCTCAAAAAGGTAAGGGGACCGGTCGACGCCCTAGGGGATCCCGGTCCAAGAGTCAAACAGACCCGAACGCTCCTCCATGGGAGAAAGCGGGTCTATCAGAGGACGTGTGGAGAGATCGGTGGGCCYGGCAAGCTTGTATCAAGTGTGGACTGTATGGCCATAGCATGTACAAGTGCCGAAACAGGAAGGTCACCGAGAAGATCCCGCCTACGATGGGGCCGGCAGTAGGATCCTCCACTCTCGTTGSKMGCRATGTTGCCAGTTCTTCAGGCACCGCTCCGGMAAACACGTCGGGCCAGTAGGAATAGTAGYTGTTCCTACTAGGGTCGCGGTGGTGGATACACCCTCACCTTCGYGAGAGATGGCCCAAGCTACKGASTCTTCAGTCGTCCCRCAAGCACATTCAGACCCATCGATCCTCTGTTCRATGAATGTGTTTGAATCCTTAGAACAGCTAGAGGTGGAGTGGTCTAGATTAAACCCGCTAGCTTCTTGGACGGCCTTAGTCAAAGCTCCTAAGGGTGAGATGTTCGTCAGCAAGGTTGTTATTGGCGGCCGCAAGGCCGGGGCCTATTATAACACTTGCTCGACACGGAACTTTATTAGTCGCGCGTGCGTTGAGAGACTGCACTTACAGGGGCGAGTGCAGCGCCTAAGTCGACCTATGGAGTCGACCTGTACCAGCAAACACCGCATGGTAGTTAACGACTACCTCCAGGATGTAGAGTGTAGTTTTCCGTACGCGGGAGGGGACTTGAGGCATCGTGTCTCGTTCCTAGTGAGGGATGAACTCCCCATGGACATGTTGTTAGGTATGTACTACCTCTCTGTGGTACAGCCCCAGTTTTACTGGGACCGAAAAGTGGTCAAACACAATCTGCCAGGTGGAGGGACCGTCAGATTACATAAGTTCAAAGCTAGTAGTCTGATTGAGTCCTACGGGGGCATGTGTGCGGCCGCGTTCTACAATTATTATAAGCAAAATCCGGGGGAGAATATGTATCTAGTTTACGTCTCTGCTGCGGGCGAGCCGGTAAAAATGCCGCCAGAGATAGAGAGAGTAGTTGCCAAGTACCCTGATCTATTTGAGGAGCCTACAGGGGTTGTTGAGAGCGAGGTCGTCCATGCTATAGAGATTAAACCAGGGTCTAGTATTCCGAAGGGTAGGATCTATCGGATGTCTCTAGGCGAGCTTGATGAGCTTCGTCGCCAACTCAAGGAACTCGTAGAAAAGGGTTGGATCCGGCCGAGTGTCTCTCCTTATGGGTCTCCTGTTCTATTTGTACCTAAGAAGAAGGAGGGCACTCTCAGGATGTGCATTGACTATAGGGGCCTCAATGTCATCACTGTGAAGAACAGAGAGCCCCTACCTCGCATCGACGATATGCTAGATAGAGTGCAAGGGTGCCGGTACTTCAGTAAAATAGATCCGAAGTCTGGGTACCATCATATTGCAATCCGGCCCGAGGATCAACACAAAACCGCTTTTCAGACCAGGTACGGCCTGTACGAGTTTGTGGTGATGCCTTTTGGCCTTGGCAATACTCGTGACACCTTTCAGCACGCTATGAATCGGATATTCCATGACTACTTGGATAAGTTTGTCATCGTGTACCCCGATGACATACTTATTTTTAGTAAGACTGTCGAGGAACATGTCGCACACTTGGACAAAGTCCTCGGTCTCCTGCAACAGCACAAGTTCAAGATCAACGGTGAGAAGTGCGAGTTTGGCCGCACCCGTGTCTTGTACTTGGGTCATGAGATCTCCGCGGAAGGGTTGAAGCCCGATGACGCGAAGGTGGCCAACATTCGTGATTGGGCACGTCCTCAGTCCGTGACAGAGATGAGTTCTTTCTTAGGGATGACAGGCTACTACAAAACTTTTGTAAAGAACTATAGCATTGTGGCCGCTCCTTTGACTGATCTGACCCGCCTTGACACCCTTTGGGAGTGGACAGATGAGTGCGAAGCTGCTTTTAGACATCTAAAGCATGCATTGACACACTATGAGATCTTGAAACTTCCTGATTTTGATAATCCGTTCATAGTCACCACGGATGCCAACGAATATGGTATTGGCGCCGTGCTCGCGCAACAGGAGAGGCCAAAGTTGAAGCCAGTAGAGTACATGTCCAAGAAAATACCGTCTCAGAAGTTTGCTAAGTCCAGTTATGAGAAGGAACTCTATGCGGTGTACAAGGCTCTCACCCATTGGAAACACTATCTCCTTGGGCGGTTCTTCATCCTCAGGACTGATCTTCAGACCCCGAGATGGATGAGAACCCAACCGGTACTTTTTGACGCTCTCAAGCGTTGGATCAAAATCATTGAACAATATGACTTTGATCCTCAATATCTCAAATGGGAGTACAACAAGGTTGCTGATGCCTTGTCGCGCAGGCCAGACTTCTCAGGTGCGCTAATTACTGAGTTCGATCTGACGGATGACGTTACTCAGTCTTTGGTGGAAGCCTATCGCAAGGATCAATTTATGTCTGAGATTATACGCAGACTTGAGGCGAAGGATAAAAAGACCTCCGCTGAGTTTGACTTGGTCAATGGCTTGTTGTTTCTCGAGAAGGAAGGGAATAAACGTCTGTGTGTTCCTAGTTGAGAATCTTTAGTTTGTTTTTTGGCGAGTGTCATGACGCCACCGACCATTTTGGGTTGAAGAAAACCGCAACCAATTTGCTGCAAAGGTTCTGGTGGCCCACGATGTTAAAAGATGCACAACTGTACGTGGAAACTTGTCACGTTTGTCAACGGGACAAGCCCCGTACTCAGGCTCCTCTTGGGCTGCTCAAGCCACTTCCGATTCCGGAACGGTGGGGTGAAAGTTTGTCCATGGACTTTATGGATACGCTGGTCTCCAGCAAAAGTGGGATGAGACAGATCTTCATCATCGTGGATAGGTTTAGTAAGTTTGCTAGGTTAGTAGCAATGCCTGAGATAGCAAAGACTGAGTACGTGATTAAGTTGTTCAAAGAAAACTGGGTAAGAGATTTCGGATTACCCAAGTCTATTGTAAGCGACCGGGATGTCCGGTTTACAAGCGAGTTATGGAAGGCCGCTGCAGCTGATTAAGGAACTCAACTGCAGATGACTTCTGGGAATCATCCCGAAGCCAACGACCAGGCCGAACAGATGAACCGCGCTGTGCAACACCTGTTGAGGCATTATATCAAGCCCAACTAGGTGAACAGGGACGAAAAGCTCGCACTTGTCGCCAGTCTGTATAATAACGCTCTACACAGTGCTACAGGGGTAAGTCTTAACAGTCTACAACTAACGTTTAAGCCTAGACTACCCTTAGACTTCCTACTTCCTGACAACCAGCCAAGTGTTGCACAAGGCACACTAGAGTTTGCCTACCGATATGAACAGAAGATGCAGGACGCTGTAGAGCACATGCAGAAGGCGCAAGCAGCAATGATAGAAACTAAGAACAGACACCGCCGCCCTTCTACATTTTAGGTTGGGGACAGAGTCTGGGTCAAGTCCTCGGAACTAGGACAAGAGTTTGGGATATCTCGCAAACTCATGCCTCAGTACTTTGGGCCTGGGGAGGTTTTAGACATAGTTGGGACAGATCCAGATGGGCCATCCTATGCCATTCGTATCTCTGGTCATCTCATAACTTACCCGATCTTTCACGCCTCAAAGCTCGCTGCATTCGAAGAAACTGATCAGTTTCCCTCTCGTTGGTCAATGCTGCCCCCAACCATGGACGGAGAAGTTGACATCGATGATATCGTCGACCACAGAGAGATGCTTGTTCAGAAGCCTCCGGGAAGGGGACGTCCTCCAAAGCCAAAGCTGCAGTTCCGTGTCCATTTCGGACATCATACAGATCCGAAGGAGGACCGCCGGTTTACTCGGGAGGAATTGATGCAGACCGCTCCTCAAATCGTTGCCCACTATGAGAAGAATGTATTGAAAGGAAAGTGCCAGATGGCGCAGTATTGATCTTCTTTGAGGACTAACGAAGATACGGAGGAGGGAATGCGAGGCTACGCCCGCTCAGCCCCCTCGGGGCCCTTTTTGCAGTATGTCGGCCGCCCTATGTGAAGGCAGGCGCGACAAGCCCTCAGGGCCTCGATTTTCAGGGTACCCCGCAACTGGTGAAATTCAGACAGTTGCGCTGCGCCACTTGGTTGAAGGCGCTCAGGCCCAGGCCATATTTTGCAAATGTATCTGAATGGTGACCTGGGCCAGACTCGAGGAAAAGGTCGTAAGCAGGCCAAGGGCAGTTGGGCACATGTAACCATCAGGCCCTCGGCCTACGTATGGAGGTGTGGGCCTGTGCCTACCGGGGCCTACCGGAATCTTCCTGGACTAGACGCAGGCAGGCCACCTCGATATAAGGAAGGGCCTGCCTCCTCATTCGGCATTCGGGTGCATGCTGCGCAAGCGCTGCTGCTGCGCTATTTGCTAGCTGGCGCCTACGCTCTCACGGGCGAGCAGGGAAGGAGCACGCAACCATAGCCAAGCTGCGCTGCTGTATGCTGGGTGAAGCGCAGGGTGGTCCTTGGGTGCTAGTGGCATCTGTGAGTTGGGGAACGCGGTTGTGAGGGTAGCGCAAGACATACCTGGTGCTGAAGCATGCGACATTGGTCGCCATATGCTCGTACTTCGGGAACGCTGTTGATGTCATCATTCTGGTTCATATTATAGGCTAGATAGGATCTACGACATGTAGTGTGGGCGTCAAGCGCCAATAAGATATCAACTCTGGTTCTTCGCTAATGATGATGGGACTACTTCAGCATTGTCAATGATGAACTCTTGGTGTGTTCTTATTTGGTGTATCTCGTGATGCAATTCTGCGTTTGGTTCGAGGTCAAGACTATCTGGACTYATATGTATGATGCTGTTTGATTGTTGGAGTTCACTATCACTCATCTTCCTTGCAAGTTCTAATAATAAAAATAAATAAAAATAGATAGAGAATTAAATTTAGTGAGTGCGAGCATGTTTTCGATACCGCCATCTTTGGCGATTTTTCATGTTTTTTTGGCGTAGCGAAATGCCCTGAAAATTAACAGATGTGTACTTCACATAATACAAAACCCACGTAAAAAGTTTCAAAAACTAATAAAATTGTTAAGACCTCAAACTAAAGTGAAAACAAAAAGTAAAAAGTGAAAAAATACGAGGGCAAGCACTATTTGACACGGTCATCTTTGGCGTTTTTTAATTCTTATTCGGCTTAGCCAAATGACTTGAAATTAATAGGCATGTACCTCACTTCTTAGAGAAATCACAAACAAAATTCAGAAAAAAAAAATTATCTTTAGGCCCTGAAATATTTTTTGGCGGGGGCCGAACAGCGTCAGGTTCGGACCCCGAACGCCCGTACGTACGGAGGTCTGCCCGGGGACCTGCGTACGGACGGGCTGGTGACCCTGTTTGGGGCTCTCAACCTCAACTTGTCTGGAAACAGGGTCCAACGTCTATAACCTTAAGATTGAAACTTTAAAATTAAGAATTTTGGGTGGAACGACCGTGTTGGAAATTGTGTTCATTGTCCTTTATTAAACAACCAAAATATAATAAACAATTATAAAAGTTAGAACCTGGGTCCAATGTCCCATCTTTTTAAAAGGTTTGATGTAAGGATTCTCGGGTGAGTGTATGGTACTCATACACTGACTTGATATCAAATCAAATCTTATATCTACTGTCTCTGTTTTATTTTCGGAGTTTTGTATAGTTAAGGACCTAAAGTAGTATTTACAAAATGTGGAAATCCGATTCACTGGCATGAGGGAAGGAAATATTTATAAAACATATAGAATTTGCAATATGTATCGGCTTCTAATCCGGTTGTGTAGCCAAAATTATTTTTACTTCCAATATTTTGAAAAATATCAAACACCCTTTCAGATATTCCATTGCCCAACAATGCTTTGTTGCCCACTGTTTTTCAAAGGCTTTCAATCTCAATTGCTTATTGTCTCTCCCTTTGTGCCAATAAACATAAACAATGTTTCTTAAATAATCTAAAAACCTTGTTTTTATCTTCCTTGGCGATAATTCATTTTTCTGAATCGCACTTCATTCTTTTCCCTCCACAATACCTTGTACCCATAATTATGGTTGTGCTAACCATAATAGCTAATTTTAAATCCATCTTCTAGATAATTAATGCAGACCAATTAACATTCCCTCCCTCTCTCTGGTGCATTTTCATCCAAACAAACTGCCAACAATGTCGATTTTTTTTTGCCTGGACTTAGTCTTACCAAATTTAACTTTGAACTTCAATATCTTCTTTTGTGCATGTTTTGGAAAAAAAATTCACTATGAATCATACTTGCAACCCACCGTGCGCCGTACCGTTGTCAGTGCGAATACCCTTACAAGGGTATCCGCCCTGGTCTTTGCAAACGACAGAAAACAGTTTGGTTTAAGGTTTAAGTATGTCGTGCCAGGCACGGCCGCATCTGCAATTTATGTTGACTAGGTGGTTGACTAGAGTAAAGAGTGCGTGGGCGCACGAGTTGAGGCGCGCGTGATTTTCCCTTCTTTTGGTTAGTACACTGGCAAACGTGGCGTGGATTTTTGGTCAGCATATGTTACTTTGGTTTTGATTAAACTGATTAGCCATGAGTACCTTGTTTCTTTAGTTCTGCGGGGTGCGATGGAAGGTTCACTGAGCCGGTATGAACTTACACGAAAATCCAGATGATGGGACCTGGTGGATTTGGCTAAGGACGAGTAGCCGTGGCAAGGCCTGTAGGCCGACGTAAGTTTTTGGATAGTCCCTTGAGCAAGTATGGGCCGGGAAAGTGTTATAGGGCGTTTCCTTGGCCCCAAGGGCCGTGCTCTACCTCTCTATAAGGCGTGTCAGGCCTGCTGGTACCAGGCTTGGGCTTAACCCTATAGGTTACAGCACCGGACTGGTACGCAGCAGACGCAGGGATCGAGGCCAACGACATGCGACAAGGGAGCGGAGGAGCGCGGTGAAAAGGCTTGAGGGGTTGGTGGGCCAGTAGGACTATCCCCCTCGCCTTTTGTTACCCCAGTGGCCGCAACTTTCACCCGAATACCGCATGCTTTGCGGGCTTTTTATGTCCATATATACATATATATTATTTTATTTCGAAGTTTTTATATTATTATTATCTGTCTCACGCCCGTAGGTGGGCGCGAAACCGCACAGGGCCGGGGTTTAGGCAGGCGGCGTGGTCTTTAGTGCCGCCACGAGGCGCTACCCCGGCCCGGTCCTTCGGGACATCTGTTAAAACTGGAACGACACAGAGAGGATTAGCCGAGCGTTCAGGTAAGAGGCGCGCCGGGGCAAGACTTCCGCGGACAACGGTCAAGCGGAGCCACAAAGGGTTCGGGCGCAGGCAGGGTATCAATGAGGTAGCGGGCAACGGGTCAGCAGGAAACGAATTCAGACTAATGTAGTAAAGACGGGCCGCCCGACGGCTTGCAACCATACTACAGCAAGGGCTGATCCGCTGCCCGGGCGTGGAACTGGCGGAGCTACCAAGGGCAAGCAGGGAAAGATAGCGGGGCAGTGCAGCGCAAGGCTGGCGACGCACAAAGGGAATGAACCTGGTGCGAATCCGTGCCGGGTGCATTCAAAGTGGGAAAAAGAAGAAAAACGGGGGGGGGCTGTGTGGTGGCACGCAACACGGAACCGTTCGTCGAAACCTGGGTTTAGGGGCGAAAGACTAGTCGAGCCGTCTAGTGGTTGGCTCCCCCCGAAATGCTCCTCAATTAAGGCGGAGGTCGCCGAGCCCATGCGGCTGTAGGACCGATGCGCTCAACACCGTCTAGTGCAGTGCGGCACCTGCTCGTGTGCTGTACTAGTGACAATTTTTTTATTTTATTTTTTCAGATACAAAAGAGTGCAACACCTAAGGAACTGATATTTTTAAGTACAATCGTACAAATGTTTCTTTTCATCCAATTGGGCATGAGAAATAGCCAAAAAAAAGCGTTTGAGACATCGGTCTTGACCTTTAAGTAGTGGCATTTCATGTTGTGGTAGTTGATAATAGCATGTTCTAGGAGAAAATTCAATCTCATTTTGCTCATTTGGTGAATTGTGACAATGTCAGTCTGTGTATGTGCTTGTAGGATGACCAAAATTTGAATGAACGTTCAACCATAACATGGAAATATACACTCCCACATTTTGATTTTATTTTTAAGATAATGGCGGATGCTGCATGTTTCAAAATCCTAAAGGCAAAAAAAACTTGCGCCAACAAAGAAACCACGTGCCAATTCGAAATAAGCGATTGTGGTCCAAAAGGATGCGTTTGATAATTTTTTTATTTTTAATTTTCCCTCTGACATTATCGTCGACCCCTGTAAATATGACACCTGATTTGACACCACGACCGTCGATATTTTTGTTTCCTTTTCGAACTCGTTGCGATTTTCTTTGTCGACTCATGTTTTTCTTTTTCCATAGGTCGCATTCGATACTGAAAGTTCTCAAATGCTACAAGAATTTACTTACCCTTTATTTTATTTTTACATCTCTTACATTTTTTTTGTGTATGAGAAAGAGAAAGAACATGTAAGTCTCCAACCTCACGGTTGAGCAAAATCGAATCAATCTACCGCTACAACATGGAAATATTGTTTTTTTTTTTTTTTTTTTTTTTTTTTTTTTTTTTT